TGTTCCCCCCCGCGCCGGGCCGCGGAGCGGGACCCGCCGTGCTCCCTCCGTCCCCGGGCCGTCCGCCTGCCGCAGCCGCTCGCGTCTCCTCGGGCGGCTGCTCGCCGCGTCCTCCCCGAAATAGGCTCCCCTCCGCCAGCGGCTAAGTAGAAGTGCTGCGCCGGAGGATGCAGCCGCTGTTGCTGGAGGGAGTTGGGCACTTTTGGCATCATGGAGGTGGGAAGGAGAGGGGCCGACACCGGAGGTTCGTCCCCATGGGGGAAGCGCCCTCGGGGGCGGCCGGTTTTGCGGCCAGAAGTGACAGGGCGCCTTGCGGCCGCCACGGAATGACTGCAACTTTCTCCTGTCCTCCATCACGCCTTCGATGATAATATTTTTCTCCTCCCTCCCCTGCTCCTCCCCTCTTGTGTTACACCGACAGCGACAGCAGGGTGTTGTGGGTGGTTGCAGGGAATATCTGTATGAAGGTTATGAGCAAACAAGTCCCTTCGCTGTTCCCTTTCGGGTATTGTCTGCTTTTCTTCCTTGTGTTGTGTTGCCACAAGATGTAGCAGTTATACAGCTAGTGAGTTGCTCGGCGCTTTTAGCTAAAATAACTACTTGCTCAACGCCAGTTAGTGGCGGGGGAGAACTTTTATGCACAGATACTTGCATACCGAGCAGTTGTATAATTTTAATTGATTTGCCCCAGTTTAATGAATACCATTTCTTGTAGCATCTGCAAAACGTCATCGCCCAAGCAGGAAACTTGCTAACTTAAAATAGAAATAGTTGTGAAGATGGGGAGTCTTTGTTTTTAAGTCTTCCTGTAGTTGCTTTTTGGGTTTTCTTGGTTTTTTTTTGTTTGTTTGTTTTTTGTTTTGTTTTTTGTTTTTTTTGGTTGATAAGCGATGTAGGGGTTTGACATCCTGAAACTGTATAATGCAGTCTGGTTTCTCCATTTTCCACACCAGTAGTTGTCAGACTTGTATCACTGTGTGTCACTTTTGCACACGCTCCTGCAGGTAGATTGACATGAAATGCTCTAGAAAATACCTGGGAAGGAATTATGGTATATGTTAAAGATGCTGAGTAAAGTGGCAGGCATTTTGTGCTCATCTTCTCTGGGAGGCCAAAGCTGTTAGAAAAACGACCACCACCAGGCAAATTCTTAGTTTTAACTAAAAATGGTGGTCCTTGAGTACTTCTATTGAGACAAGAAGAATATTTTTTGTGATACTCACAATATGATGATTATGCTATTTTCATTTTTCTTTCTTACAACTTATGCTGTTGGATTTTTCTGGGTACTGTAATTTGTATCCTCTAATACAGATTATGGGGTTAAAGGTAATCAAAACCTTGGTGTTTTCTTGGTACTGTAATGTGTTGCATTTACATGGTGTTCCTGGGTTACATTTAAATTGTGTGTTCTCACTAGGTAGCTCTCTTTGAAAATGAGCATAAGCTGCCATGCTTGGGTTTATGTTTTGCATTCATGCTTGTGGGATGTTATCAGCGCATCTTGCTTTATGTATATGCGTTTTATAGAGAAGTATCTTGCCGGAAATCAATAGGCCCTGAAATACAAATACATTAGTATGTTCATAGACATTGGCTTATATATGTGAAAGATTGATGCCAGATTAGACTAATAAGCATGGAATATTTACAGTGCAGTGTGTTTATGGGAGCCTGTGCTGTCATCAATTCTAAACTTGTGACACCTTGTGATGTTAATGGAGCTTGTGAGTTTTGGAGCAGCGCACAAGGCTGCCGGCCCATACTGGATCACAGCTGCATCGCTGCTGGTGCCAGTTTTGAGTGGGTAATATTTACCGATACAGCGCATTTGGCACTGGAGCAGAGCTTCTTTCCCAGCCTGGCCTTCTTGTTTGTGGATTAAAATCCCTTTGGTTGGCTCCTGTGAGCGTTATGTCCTGTTGCCTTTGGAAGTGCAGACCTTCACAGAGAGTACCCTGCATGCTATGGTTGATCTGACCTCCCTTATGAGGGTCTGGTATCAGCTCACATGTCTCACATGGGCATTTGAAGGTTCTGGTTTATTAAGAACAGAAACCCTCAACACCTCGATTTAGGAAGTTAAAAAATATTTTTGGAATCTGTAATAGGAAAAAAGCAAAAAAGACAAGCCTGGCATATATAACGGTTGCACAAATGCATTTTTTAAAAAATGGCAAGACCTTGTTGATATCAAAAGAGAACTACTTAGAAAATATGGGTGAAATTAGAGGAAATAATATTTTAAAAATATTCTAATATTTATAATATATATAATGTTCTTTAAAAATGAACTGCAACGTTGCAGCAACATTTTCCATTGGTTGTTATCTTCTGTGTTTTTATCTCGAGTGGCCTCATGGTTTTGCTGTATTGATTTGAATTTATGTTTTGAGGTTTTGAAATGAAAAGACTGGGATGGACTTGAACACAGTTACAGCTGTAGGTTTTTACTGTGTAAGAACTATCTTGTGTTTGCATTTTAGTGTAGCGTGTAAATGTCTGTCGTTCTGTCAGTTGTTTTATATACCCATAACTTACGTGTGGTATATGTGGTCACTTAAGAGCCCTGCAGTAGATGTTATCAGGAATTTAGGAGGACTGTTATGCAGTATTATTTTACATACTGTATGTGTGGTTGTGTGACTAAATCTTGTGCCATAGCTCACCTAATTTCAGTC